CCAGTCTGAACCGAGTGTAGTAACAAAGGAGGAGGAGGCGCTGTTGTTTGATAGAGCTTCATGCTGTTGATCCAGTACTGCTGTACTTGGCGGGAATATGCACCGACCACCGCTGCCGACGACGACGACTACAGAATCTCACATCAAGTGTTATCGAGGCGCAGCCCTTCGATGCCTCGTCTTTCCCTCGCAAATCAATGAAAAAGGCCCACACAACCATCCTCCTAACTGGCTGCTGGCGCTCCCCGGCAGTTTTACTCCTCTCCTGCTACTGCATCACACACACACACAGCACACACACGCACACACACACACACACACCCACACGCAACATCACACACACACCACAACACACTCTCTCTCTCTCCTTCTCTCTCTTCTACAGGTCTCGTCCTTTCCATCCCTGCTTCCCTTATCTCCCTCCCCTCCTTTCTTCCTTGGCCATCACTTCTTTTCTCCCTTCGTACCTCCTCACTCCCTACTCCCCCGCTCCTCGTACGTCCTTCGTCTCCGCTCTCTAATTCCTTCCTACATGTCTTCCCCTTCTTCTCCCCGAACTCGGTCCCACCGTTCCAGTATCCCTGCCTCCCCCTCCCTTCCTCTCTTCCTCCGTCCTTTCCTTTTCTCCTCCCTCTTCTCCGTTCCCTCCTTCCTCCCTCCTGCCCATTCCTATCCTCCTACCCTCCCTTTCTTACCTTCCGGCCCTCCCACTCCTTGTCTTCCTCCCTCGCCTCGCGCGGACCTCCGTCGCATCCTACCACCACTCCACCCTTCCTCCCTAGTCCTCTCTTATCTCTTCTTCTCGCCTTTACTGCCTCTCCTGCCTCCTTTACGTTCCTACCACCCCCACCTTCACATCCCTCCTCTCTAATATCCCTTCGCGGCCTCTCTGCCCCTTGCCTGGCCCTTGCCATCCTTCCCTTCTACCGAACCCTCCTCCCTTCATCCCTACCTCTCTATCTCCCTCCGCCTTCTCCTGCACCTCCCCATGCTCCTTCCCTCCACCCTCTACCTTCCCTCCCCTACTCCTATCCTCTCCTTGATCGCCTTACACGCCTCCTTCTTCTCGCTCTCTGCCTCCCTCGCCTCTTTCTTCCCTCCTACCGCACTCTCCTCCTTTCCTCCCTACCTCTCTATCTCCCTTCTCGCTTCTCTGCCTCCCTGCCTCCTTCCCTCCTACCACCCTTCCTCCTTTCATCCATACCTCTCTATCTCCCTTCTCGCCTCTCTGCCTCCCTGCCTCCCGACATAATTGGCCTGACCGTGGTGAGACCACAACGACCGCTGATGCCTAGCGTTACGTGCGCTCCGTTTGCCTACGTCCCTAGCCTCATCTGGCCGGCCGACGTCGCCGAGAGATAGCGCTACGCACATAGCGTGTACAGCGGGGTATGTACCATCTATATATGCGATCGACGGACGGGCGTGCGTGTGGACGAGCCGGACGGTGGGCTTAACTACGCGCAATCGATGCGTCTAGGCGCAGATCGCAGGTGCGTCGGAGCATCTACTCACAGAACGATGGTGAATAAAATGCAACGCCATCGAGCACGCAGGCAGAAACAGCAGCCAAAAGCAGTAGTAGCAGCAGCAACAGGACAACAGCAGAAACATCATCATCATCATCATCATCATCATCATCATCAACAACAACAACAACAACAACAACAACAGCAGCAGCAGCAGCAACAGGACAACAGCAGAAACATCATCATCATTATCATCGTCATCGTCATCATTATCAACAACATCAACAACAACAACAACAACAACAACAAACAACCAGCCAGAGGCTAACAGGACATACCATCAAAGAAAGCATCATCATCATCATGCATCAACGTCATCATCATCATCATCAACACAACAAACAACAACAAGCAGCAGCAGCAGCAGGAGAGGGGGAGCAATCAACCGCCATGCATCTAATCGTCTAATCGCCTTCAAATGCGCAGTTAGAGAACACGTCGATTAAAAGCTATATAGACGCGCACCCGCCTCACTAGGATTTCGCGCTAGGATGTTGTGGCGGACATGTTGTGGTGATGGCCCATCTAGATCTGTCGGCTCGTCGCTAACTACAGACGTATAGCGAAACATTTGGCGCGAAACAAAAAAGTGAGAGCGAGCCAAAGGCGACAAAAAGAAAGAAAGCAAGAGAGTCTGACAAACTGAGAGCCAGCCAGCCAGCCAGCCAGACAGACAGATAGCAACAGACAGACGACAGGCGGACGGACAGACGGACAGACAGACAGACAGGCAGATAGACAGACAAACAGATAGACACAGAGAGAGCAGAAAGAGAAAGAGAAAGAGAGATAGATATATCGAGAGTGAGAGGGGGGAGAAATATTATATATATAATATATATATATATATATAGAGAGAAGAAGAGAGAGAGAGAGAGAATGGAGAGACGAGAGATATGAGAGAGAGAGAGAGAGAGGAGAGCGCGTTAATATATTTATTATTACTATTATTGAAGGCGGGAGCAGGGGGAAGGGGGAGGTTGTAGAGTGGAGAGGAATCAGGAAAGGAAGGCAGATATGAAAAGAATAGACAGGTGTAGGTGTTGGCGTTATAGCGCTAGTGGAGATGGCGGCGGTGTTGGTAACAACATCATCATCGCATAGTGTGTGTTGGCGTTAGAGCGCTAGTGGAGATGGCGGCGGTGTTGGTAATAGCGTCATCATCACCGACGTCGTCCTTGTCATCATTGCGGCTTCGGGGAAGTGTGATTAGCTCGATGTGCCTTATACACAAAACAAGTGATGGTAGTTTCAGTGCATTATGTACTAATCCCAAGGACCTTGCCACCATTAATGTTTCCGATCTGTTAATCACATCTGTAAATTACGGACGATTTCCGTCCCACGTTCGGTGAATTCCGACCCTCCCCCCCACCAATTATTGTCTGTATCCGGGGGCATAACAGATAACCTAGCGAATCTTTATTGTTCCTTCTCTATATTAATGTCAACGATTATAATGTGGCATGTCCCCTAGACCTTCTCCGCATAAAGGGAAAGCTCTGATCTCCCAAGCATCCATAAACTGTCTGCTTGCACACTGCGCGCGGAAAACCATGTTTCTGTGCAAACTACTTGTATCGTTCGCTGACCAACTACTAGTATAGTGTTGGTTTAGCAAACTAGTGTGGGGAACTCCTGTAGGTAGGAAATATGTACACGTGTTTCTGTAAAGGAAGGTTTTTGTAAATAACATGTTGGTGGCGTTACAATGTGTATGCATGGTTGGCGGAAAATATGGTGTGTGTTTGTAAACCGACATATGGTTGGACTAAATTTAAATTGACAAACCGTACACCATAAATTACCTCCATGATCCATCACAGTTCAACCATCGCTTCTAGTCCATGTTTGCTTTCTAAATGAGCGGGGTGTACAGCGCGGCTGGTGCGCGCAGCCGGGGTGACGGCGGGCCGCGCGGCAACAAGCGACGTCTTTGTAAAGCCGTGTTGACACTCGCTGGCGGCAAATAAAAAATTGGCGAAAAAACTGTCACTTTACGTGGCGCGCGTGTCATCGGTGTAGTTTGCGTTACCGCGATGAGATGTTGATGCTGCTGGTGGCGGGTAAATCACACTCACCCCCGGTTCCCGGTCGTGTGCGGATAAGCGTGTGCGCGTGTGTGTGTGTGTGTGTGTGTGTGTGTGTGTGTGTGTGTGTGTGTGTG